CTCTAATCATGGCTATTAAAGCTAAGTATGGCTAGAATCACGCTTGATTCTCGCTCTGTTCAGCCTCAAAGTTTCGTACGGGTTGCTTTATATTTTATCTGACTTGGTTCTAAAGACTAGTTAATTCATAGTGCAAGACTTATTGTTCCTGTTTGAGTGCACATCATCAATTACTATGGAATTTGCATGAAATTGTGCTATTTAGTATTACTAAAGTTTCACGGTTATATTGTGCAAACAATATAACCCTGAAACTTTAGTAATAYTAAATAGCACAATTTCATGCAAATTCCATTGTTATCTATTGTTCAATTAGCACTATTTTGTACTATTTACTAATTAGTGTTTCACGGATTGTTTGCACTCTATTGTCTTTATACTATCCACTATTTTGTACAAAATTCGTATTTAAACAATTCTTTGGCATTGTTCCACAAATATATGGTATGCACTCTGTCTTGATACCACTAATTATTAGGATTAGGAGCAAGCCCCAATAATGGTGTTCCATTAAACACCATAATTCGAGCTCCAAACATTCAAGAAATTATAAAAAGGACCGGAAGAAGGTATTAAGAAATAAATTATGGAGGTAACACGAATTGTATCAGAGTGACCATCTTTAATGTAAGGGTTGTGTTCCGTAAGTGTTGATCAAGATGATGGCTAAAAATATATTATTACAACGTCCTTACTAAAACAAAAATCTATTTTTTTAGGGAGAAAAATCCATGCATTTTTTTATAGCAAAAGCTTGTGTAAAAAAACAAAGATTAAATTAAAGTTATTGGCATATTGGTTGCAGCCATCTATCCCAAAAAAACTTGATCTGTCGTTGTAAAGCATCTCACACCCATTCCCATGAAATTGCTGCCTTGGACATTAACTGGCCACATTTTTTTAAGAAAATACATGCAAGTTAACATTGATCTGTTAAATTATTTTTGAATGGAATAAAATAGTATTTCTAATATTAATTAAATTAAATAGTTAATAGCTTATAATACTATTCATGAACTTCTAGAAAAGAAATCCTAGTTATAATATAGTTAATAATGGTCCTTAATCACATGATGCCATGTTTATTCCAATGAGAATAAAAATATTGTTTAGGCCTGCATAACCTCATCCTGAAGTGCTTGAATACAAAGCCATGTGGGATAATCTATAAAAAATATTATTCCAATTCAACATGGCTGCCATATGATGAAGGTCCATATTCTGTGCATGTACCAACATGCCTTTTAAGTTTGCAGATTTCACTGTTTCTTAAAATAGATTTTAAGATTGTAAAAACAGGATTTTTATTCGACATGTAATAAAGGACTTATTGTCTACACAATAATTATGCTAGATACTTGCAGAATAGTCTGTTTTAACCAAATAAATAAATAAGAAAAATATATTATGTTTCTGTCTGACATGCTGTGATCAAGTAAGAGTTTTGTCAAATGTTTCAGCTATGAATTATTTTAAAGATAATTTTTAACATAGGAAACAAATCATGGACCAGGGCACAGTGGTATGAAGTATGAATAGCACTGACGGATAAATCTCATCCAGTGGATTAATAAACAGCATCGACTTATCCACTTAATAAGGATTTATCTGTTGGATACCACTATCTGCCCTATATTACGTACAACCGGGTCCAGTATTGGCAATACTTCTAATACACATGAAAATGGAGGCCGAGTGGCATATTTCTTTCTTACCCTCTGCTTACCCTATATGCCATATTATCATCAGCAACTAGTTCAAGGTCACTTCTATTGATGAAGTCCTGTAGCCAAGACATCTGGTCCAGAGACATTAAAAAATAGTCACACCTGATTGGCTGAATTCTGTTTTGACCAACACTTTTACAAAAAACAGGCAATCAGATTTCTTCATTGTGACTGTTAGTTTTAATTACTGCTATTGCCCTTGGAGAATTGAGGTTTGGAGGTTTGGATGCCAAAACATTGACAAAACTTTCATCTTGACACTAGCTGTACTATATCAACATCACATTTAGTGTATATAAATGTCATGTACGAATTTGTTTTATGTATTTATTAGAACCATTCCAGCAAATCAGACTGATTCTAAATAAAATCTAAATCTAAAACAACAAAAACTTAAATAAAAGTAAAGAATAAGTAACTTTATGATTTCACACTTCACACACCACTCAATCACTCAAATAATTTAGACAAAATAATATTTTAAAAGACCATAGGATACTTAAATGAAACTGGAACTCTACATTATGCAGGTTTAGGATGTTCATACGAGGTGAATTACCCACTGATAAGAAAATACTTCAAGTCTCTAAGGACCTGTTTGATGGCCAGAATAGGTTTTTAACTTAATATCTACCCCTTACATACTGTCTATCCTTAAGCCAGTCTATGTAGCTAAGTAGCTTTCGAATAAATGTTTTTGAAATAAGTATCTTATAGAGCTGTACAAAAGGTGAGAAATTTTAGGAACATTTACACTATTTTCAGTGTTTTGATCTGTATGCAGGTCTGACTTTCTCCACTATCTATTTCTATAATTATGTGACCATACAATAATGCCAGTAGTGATCCCTACATCTAGATATTTGCATGCCTTTAACATTATGAGAAACTTGCCGTCTTTCGGCTCTTGGTTGGATATTAATTATCAGCTATGTTGATAAGTTTGGTTTTCACTTCCAGCACTAGCATAACATAAGACTGGCAGCTTAATTGCAACTTTTCAGGTATAAGATGCTATCATTAACCAATGAGCAAAACATAGGTAACATGTTTAAAATTGTTGCTATTGGTTATGCATGAGCTGCAATTGCAATAAAGCCCTGCATTACCATTTTTATACTCTGAACTTATCACCATGGCTACCCCAGGAAAATATTTTCATAAAGATTTGGTTTCTCAGCCTTGAGACATGTAAATGGCAGACCAGATATCATGAAATGGCTAACTAACAGCACAATACAATCACTAGTCAAACATGCTGCATATAATCAGCTTCACATGAAAGCATAGATAGTACTGTATCTGACTTATTTACTAAGCAGGCAATGCCTCACTCTAACCTGCTGGATGAATATTTGACCATTTTCTTTGATTTCATCATCCTTCATTCCTAGAAAAGGCTTAATTATACAACAAAATCAACTCTGTGCTTGATTCCATAACAAATAATGAAAGAAATCTCTGGGCCAGCCATTCTATTGATTCCTTGGGATGCAATTTAAGTGGGTTCACAAATAAGCTACTAAATAAACAATTTAAATAAAATGTAACTGTCAGAGTCAGTCAGTTTTGAAAAACACTACTACTCATAATAGGTTCTGCTCCTCACCTCTACTAATTAATTACTACAAAATGTAATAGACCATTTAACGGATCCCGTTACTCAACCTCAGCCTCGTCAGCGTGTAATATATTCTTTAGAAATTGCCTACAACCTGTGAAATTTTTAAGTGTTTCAATTGTTCGTTGATGTGTAAATTCCTTTCATTGCTGCGGACTGTAGTCAAATTCTAAAGAATAATTACATGCTGACGAGGCTGAGGTTGAGTAACGGGATCCGTGAAATGGCCTATTGATCTTGATAACTGTCCAAGTCTTCAAGAATGAATATCCTGTTTTAGTCAAATCCAACTAGTGATCTATCATCAATGCTGTATCCTGATTGGATGAGCTACTACTAGGCTATAAGATATAAGACTGCCTACTGGTAGCGAAAAATGCTGGTTTTGAAAAAGCAAAACATTAAAGTGCCTATCAACCCTGGCCAAAGCATGAATTATTAGAAAATATACATGTTTTTAAAACATATTCCGAAGAAAAAAAAATGAATGACTTTTTTTTGCTTTGAAAAACGAGCAGATTAACTTCTGAAAAATCGCTAATTCACGCCCACTTCGATTTTCATACCGCGCTTGTAAAGGACTGGGTACTAAATGAATTCGTGACGTCGACGCGGTATCACACTGCTGCTGGCGCGTTGTTGTGCATACATGTTCTTGTTTATAGTGCGAGTTATACAAAGCTTTAAAAAATGCCAAATAGATGTGTTGCTGGCGGCTGTTCCAACTTTGCTAATGTGGAGAAAGGGATCGTACTCCATGGCATCCCTTTCTCAAACGATGAAAGGCCAGAGGCCAAGAAAAGAAGACGAAAATGGGTCGATTTCGTGAAGCAGAAGAGAGCTCAATGGGAACCCACCAGAAATTCGGCTTTGTGCTCTCTCCACTTCAAACCAGAGGATTTTCAAAGACTTTTCACTATACCAGATGCCCTGACAAATCGCCCAATCATTCCTCGACTGATAAGGGATGATATTGGTGTTTCGGTCTTTCCTAGCGTTCATGCRAAGTCCTTGACTTTGACAAGTGAGGTTACGGAGGCTCAGGCGAGCCGAAATCGAAGAATGGTAAGAGTCGATTTGCTTTTGACTCCCTATTGGTTTTCATCTTTTTTATAGATCACAATCCTGATTTTTTCTGTTAAAATAGCTCCGCGATTTGATAATTATATTTGCTTTCTCTAGTCCCTGAAAAACGCAAAAACGCGAATGGCATCACTCGAAGAGGAACGTCAGGATGGAGATACATGTAATAACGAGGTGGAACGCCTGGATGATGCGGACACAAACATCTTAGCCGAAGCTGAAGACGAAAGTGGAACAGATGAGCATCATTTATTAAATGTGTGTATTATGCTATGCCCCAAAAATGTAGTATTTATATTACATCTACCTTCTTGTTTCGGATTTTAACTTTTATCAACTTTTATGAAACCACTTTTATCACCAGACGCGAGATAGTTTTACTCAAACTGTGGAAGAGGCAAATGATGATGAATGCCAAAGTTGCGCCAAGCTTCAAAGTTGAAACCGGCAGCTCAGAAACCAGCTCATAACGGTGAGGTCTAAACTCAACAAGTGTAGAACGGAGAATAAATCAACCAAAAGAGCTATGAATAGCAGTCATGAAACAGGTACTACTATATATTTTTTTCTCTGCATTGTATATTAAATTCCTTCTTAAACTGTCATCTGTTATGTACAGCAACACCATCTTCACAAAAATTTGCAATTTTGAATCATGGGGTAGGGGTAGTGAGCATAAGCTGTGGTAGTGATGGTATAATTGTAATGATATTGTGGTGATCAGTGGTAGGGAGCATACTGGTAAGCTGTGATAGGGATATCATAATAATATTATAAGAATAAATTATTGTAATCATATAATTATAATTATATATAAACCTATTTATACTTCAGAAACAGCACCTCCCATTCCTCTAGAAAATGATGTCAATGATGCTGGTGATGATGATTACGATGATGATTCTGATGACACCATGGAAGAAGAGCCAGAGTTATCAGAAATTGATGATATGGATATGGATATGGAGTCTGAAACAGATACAGAAACTGAAGATGAACATGAYCAGGAAGAAGGGAGCAGGTAACCTTACATTTGAGATGGTAAACTAATAGTTGAAACTGAAAATATTAATTCATATTTATTCAATTATCATTTTCTTTCTATTTTTTTCTACAGAGTATATGTCAGAGATGACAACCTTAGAACACAACCCAAATCTTACTATGTATTCACTAATTTGAGAAAGT